TTGCTCCATCTAATTCAGGTGGAATGTTTGTCGTAGCTTCATCTCGAAGAGGACTATCAGAAGCCTAGCAGTGATCCCAGAAAAGTGTGGTATTACCATTGCCTACAGCAACTTTTGAGCCCTTTTTCAGCCACTCTGCATTCTCGGTGATCCCTCTCCAAACGTTGGACATATTAGATGATGGGGTAACATATCTATGTCACAACGCCCATGGCAATATTTAAATCGTAAGACTCTTGCCCACAAGGAATAAGGCTCAGTGAGGACTCTCCAACCAAGCTTAGTCAAGAATGCCGAGTTGGATTGTCTTGTTGATCTCATGCCTATACCCCCTTTTTCTCTGGGCAATTGTAGGGTCTCCCAAGATAAGAGGTGGACTTTTGTTTTTTCTTCATCTCCTCCCCAAATAAATCTTCTCATCTTCTTATCAATGTCATCACATATGGAGCGAGGGATTTTCGCTGTTTGCATCGAGTAGTTTGCCATGGTAGAGAGAGAGAATTTGGCTAGAGTTATTCGGCCTGCCAAGGAAAGATACTTGGTTTTCCATCCCGAAAGTCTACGATCAATTTTCTCACATAGGTGGGCAAATGTATCCCTTGTTATCCGGTTTGTAAGTGTGGGCATACCCAAGTAAAATCCCAAGTCCTCCGTGCTTTCCATTCCTAACACAGAATTAATGTTATTTTGTTCAGCTGCTGATACATTTCGAGAGTAGTATACTCTCGACTTTGGGAGACTCACACGCTGCCCAGATGCAACACAGAATCTATCTAAGCAGTCCTTGATCACAGCAGCTTGCTCTGGCGAAGCTTCAACAAACAAAATTAAGTCGTCTGCGAAAAACAAGTTTGAAAGAGCAGGGCCACCTCGGCTTGCAAATATTGGTTTCCATTTGTTAAGGAAAACTGCTTCCTCAATCACTTGATTCAAACGCTTCATACAGAGAACAAATAAGTACGGAGATAGGGGGTCCCCTTGGCGGATACCGCGAGATGGGTAAAATGTATTCGATTTTTCCCCATTCCACAACACTCTCATTGAGGGGGTAGTCACACATTGCATTATAACTTCGATCAATAACAAAGGGAAATTCATGTCGAGAAAAATATCTCTAATGAATGACCATTTGAGTCGATCATAAGCCTTCTTAAAATCGATCTTTATAGTCATGTAGCCCTTCCCTCCTTGTTTGCGCTTCATCGTGTGAACCACTTCTTGAACGACAACAATGTTATCGATAATTTGTCTGTTTGGAACGAAACTTGATTGAGAATCAGCAATTATTTTTGGAAGCAGGGGCTTGATGCGGTTGACTATGGCTTTTGTAATTATTTTGTAAGCGACATTACAAAGCCCGATATGACGAAATTGAGCAGGAGACTCTGGATTTTCAGTTTTCGGCAGTAGCACAAGAAATGTTTCATTGATAGAATCTGGTAAACCCCTTCCTTCAAGAGCTGCTAAGGCCATAGAATATACATTGGGAGCAACTAAATCCCAATTTTTCTGATAAAACAAGGCTTGATATCCGTCAGGACCCGTGCTTTAAGTGAAACCATCGTATTGATAGCAAGATCGATGTCACTTTTTGTAAAGGGTCTGGCCAATTTACACCACTCATCATGGTCAATTGGGTTACTTACACCAGTTGGGATGTCATAGTTCACGGCTCCTCCTTCATCAGTGTAGAGAGATGCAAAGTAGTTTACCACGAGTGCTTTAACTTCCTCCTTATCATGAACCCACTGGTTATCACTGTTCTTTATGGGCTACCACATTATTTTTCCATCTTCGTACTATTGTACTTAGGTGAAAAAAAGTAGTATTACGGTCGCCATTTGTCAGCCATTCTACTCTCGATTTCTGATACCAAAGGAGTTCTTCTTGATTAAGGACCCTATCGAGATCCCTTCTCAGTTTCGACTCCAATTTGATCAGTCCAGAATTTCTCTCCGTTGCCAGCCTTTTCTGAATCCCATCAATTCGTGATATTAAAGTACGTTTCTCACGAAAGCTGTTATGAAAAATTTCCCTGTTCCAATTTTGCAATTCCGTGGACAAGGAACCAAGGAGAGGCATCAAAGGGGTTGTGCTGTCCCATTTGTCATGAAGGAATTCACTAAATTTTTCGTGTGTGAGCCATGCGGCTTGAAATCGGAAGGGTCGATTTATCACATCCAAGGGGGCAAATCCGTTTGGAGAAATAAATAGAGGGCAGTGATCTGATTGAAGCGCAGGAAGATGTCGTACTTGAGCTTTATCAAAGCGCATTCCCCATTCCCCTGTGCAAAGTGCTCGATCAAGCCTAGCACTCCTTCTTGTTTCCATCGAATTGCCCCTAGCCCATGTATGTGCAGGGCCAGAAAATTCGACTTCAATAAGATTGTTTTCGTGAATCCAAGCATTGAATCTTTGGCTTCTTCTCGTCGTATCAGCACAGCTCGAGTTTCTTTCCCATCCAAATCGAGTTTCATTGAAGTCCCCTGCTAGAAGCCAAGATTTGTTATTTCTACTAGCAAATTCTGAAAGTGCATCCCATAACTCAGTCCTTTTGGATGGGTCGGGGCTGGCATAAATTGCCGAGAAATACCAGGGCTCTTCACCAATTTTAGTAATTTGCATTGTAATGTACTGATTCGCATGGTCAATCGGCTCCACTATTACTAACTCCGGCTTCCAGTAAACCCATATTCCCCCACTAAATCCTTGTGCATCAACGCGAGTATGTCCATCATATCCAAGTATAGAAGCAACTCTATTAGCATGATCCCCACCCATATGAGTTTCAAGAAGAGCAAGCACAATTGGCTTGTTAATTCGAACAATTTCTCTGAGAACCGAAAGAAATTCCTTGCTCCCAGTGCCTTGAGCATTCCATACCATGCAAGTAATGGGGTAGGAATTGGATGTCATATGATGGTTTCTATTCATCTCGAGACTGGATAAAGGGAACTTGGAATTATAAGCTCTTAAGAGATGGTTAAAAGCTTGATTAATTTTCCATGGCAACCTGAGAGTCACCATCAGCTCTGGTGTCACTTGCCTCGACACCATCCATGAATGAAACTCCACCTCCATCATGTGAATTAGGGGGTCGAGCATGTAAAGGTACGGTTCTTCCGTTGGCAAACTCCCACATAGTATCTTCTCCGGGGGGATTCGAAGTTGAATTGGGGTTGGCGGTAGGCGAGACATGAGTTTCGAGAGGTGAAATTTGGGACAAATTTGGTAGCTCAGGGGATTGAATTTGAGTGTCTATAATTATGGCTTTTGAAGGTGCTTCTGTGTTAGCTTCAGAAATAGCTTCGATTGTAATTGGATTATTTTCTTTGCCTGTCTTAGCATTCAAATTCATGCTGGGTGTGGGGCCCGAGGATAAATTATTAGATTTATCTTTTCAGAACAGAATTAGGCAAAGGATTATCTTTTCTCCTAATTTCCTGCCAATTTTTCAAACCTCCCATAAATTGTCCATTAAATTTGGGATTTTGATTTGATTTTCCCATAGAAAAAGGAGATTTGGGAAGGCTGGAGTTATCCCGAGAGGAAGATTTTCCTGACTTGATAGGATTTTCCTTCCTAACAGAATTATCCCCAAAAAATTTTGCCAAATTATCATTATTTTCATTATTCGAATCCTCTGTTTCTATATTTTCGCCCTGAATTTGCTCCTCCAATATTGCGAATCTTGACCCAGTGTTTGACTCTTTCGCTTGACCGGATTGACCCTGGCTCACACCCTTGCGCTGCTCTTCCTTCTTTGTCGTGGTTTGCACCTTATCCGGCTTGACTGATTTCTTCCTAGGGGGGTTTCTTGACCAACATCCAAGAGTCGTAGTCTTGTTGTTCAACTGTTAAAGGCCCTGTATCTTTAGCCTTTGTCTCTGTTCCTTGGACTGTAACATTATCAGCACTATTATGAACCATGGATCCACACTTGTCTCCTTGATGACCAATCTTCCCGCAATTGAATCATATCATGCGAAGGCCTTCGTATTGAATTTTCCAAATTTTCCCTTTCAACCAGAATTTTGAAAGGAGGGGTTTGGTTAAGTCAAGTTCAACACTTAGTCTTGTAAATTGCCCACGTTGTGCCATGGCTGTGTTGTTGTCAATTCTTATGACTTTCCCAATTTTGCCTCCAATCTTCTGCAAAAATTCTTTGTCGAAATACTCGACAGAAAGGTTTGGTATGCGTACCCATGCTGTTAGGAATCGCAAAGGGGCATCATCCGGGATGAAATTAGGCACCCATTTACGGATAGTGAGATAGTTATCATCAAGCATCCATGGACCTTGGGTTAGGACATGATTATAATCTTCAATGCTTGAGAATCTAGCTATGAAGTAATCATGTCCAATATCAGTTAGCACCAATCCTCCTTTTAATTCCCATTTGCGTTTTAGCCTCTTCATGAGGGACATATATCCTATTTTCGTGTTGAACATCTTAATGATCAACGTGTGCTTCCATGGTTCCCTTAGTCTCTTTTTTTCCTCCTTTGACAAGAGAATTATGGGACATTTTGGGTCATCTTCTAATCCATCTGGTGGTTCATCATCATCAGAAATCTCCTCTTCATCATTAAGAAGTTGTGGAATACCTTGGGTATGCCCATGACTGTCAGTGGCCACCATATCTCGGAAGGATGTTGGCTTGTGTACTAATGGAGGAAAGAAATTCCTTCCATTAGTCTCTGAAGCATCCTTTTCAGCAGTGTTATTCGTATTGAAGATTAGATGAGTAATCTTGCGCTTTGGTTTCTTAGAAGATCGGTTCATCAGATCCCTTTCTTCCTGGGTTAATTCTTTAGGCTGATTATCACTCAGAGGCTTGTCTTGAGAAGGGGTTTCCCTCACAAGAATAGGTTTTGCAGAGAGCATTTTTGTCTATTTGTGTGAAATTAATTAACATGGCACTTGGGCCGAGGCGAGATTTCCTTTCCAGAAAAAGGATACCACAATATCCTTTCCCCAACAGTTATCTTTCTCAAGTAATAGCATCCATTAGGATTGGAAAAGGACACCAAAAAGCCACGGAAAGGATTGTAAAAGGCCTTGATGCTGGTGCTCTAACAACTCACAACCCTAACTCCTTCTCTCACATCAACCAGCCGACCACCGACGCCGGAGTGCCAGACCAGCCACCAGCCCACTGTGTCGTTCACACGTGCGCATCAGGTCACCTCTTCACTCAATCACTCCTTCAAGCCTTCAAGACAACAAGGCCTTCAAGCCTGCGGCCACGGTGCCACCGCCTTCGGATCTACGGCGACCACCGGCTAATTGACCGGAGCGACCAGTCGACCATCGAATGCTATGAGCCTGTGACTTTCTATTTTTAATTTCCAAATTTTTATCACCCTTTTTGTTTCGAAATTATTATTCTTAATACAATTAGAAAGGTACGAGCTTTCTCCAAGTTTGCAATACTTCCAATTTATGCAGTTCAATTCTCAATTGTTTTTTCATGTTTTATATTCAATGTTTTTTTGATTATTATGGGTTTATGTTGTGTTCTTGATTCTGGTTTTTTTTTTTTTTTTTTCTCCTTCTGAAATTGTTGTTTTAGTTGATTAATCATGCGTTTGAGCTACTAATTGTGAAATTTAAGATTTTATTTGGTAATTTAATTTTAAGTTGTAATTTAAATTGCTCATAGTTCAGCTTTATTCAAATGCTTCTGTCAATTGCAGTTGCTGGATTTATATTTATCTGTTTTATATTTCAAGGTACAATGTTAAAAGCAAATTTCTCTGTTCTGATTTATATTTACCTTTTTTATAAAAGTCCCCATTGTAGTAGAATTATCAATTTTGAACTGTTTTTTAGTTAATTGTGAGAAAGTTTGGTGTATTTTTGTAATCCCTATTGTGCAAGGTCTTGTTTTTGTGTTAGTTTGTAGACTTGGAAAATGTAATAGAATCTGTTGCAACTGGCATTTGTAAAGTATATTTGTATATAGCATGACCAAAGTAATGGGATTTGTTTTTGTTTTTTTTTTTTACAAGAACAGAAGAGCTTATATTACAACTAGATTAAAAGTAATGGGGTATGTTAGTTTGGCTAACTTATCAATTTTATAAAATTAAACAAGCTTTACTATTGCTATGTTATGAGCTTTAGATTATGGAACTTATATGTTAGGAGTCATATGATGGTATTTTTGGTGGTAATAGTAGCATATGGTTGGTATTTACACAACCGAGTGCCTTTGATTCCCTGGAAGCCTTTTGACACGATGTAAACCTTTGAGTTCAGGGTGACTCATAAGCTCGGAAATCCTGGATCCGCCACTGCCATCACCGTTTACCGGCCACTATTTTTCACTCTCTGTCGTCCTATGAACAATCTCACTGACTTCAAATTTTTTTAGGTACATTTTAACTTCAGTCTTTCTCAAATTATTTACTTTGCTCAAATTATTTCTCACTCTTTTCAATTTGTTTGTTGCAATTGTTGATTAAAATTTTCAAAATTCATTTCCCAATTTCAATTTTACTGAATATCACTTACCACTTACCTGTTAAAATTAGGGAAAAATAATTTACAACCAAAGTGAAAATCACAAATTTTAGAGATTCATTTGTGTCTTCTCCGTTTCCTGAACATAACCCAAGAAATCTAATAAGATAATTCAATGGTTTTTTTGTTGTAATTTAGTCAATTGTTATTATTAGTATAATTGTTGTTGAGTATAATGACATAAGTTTAAGCAACAGACTAATTCGAGTAAATTAGTATAATCTACTGATATTAGGATTTCCCTTGCTTTTTCTTGAGTTTGTTTGTATTTGATAAATTAGTCATGAGAATGTAAATTACTTATAATTTTGATCCTTTATTTAATGGTTGTATTGATTCCAATTTCTTAACATAATCCAAGAAATCTAATTAGGGTGAGTCCATATTATACCTGTTGCTTTAACCTTTCTATTCACTGATCGGGTATCGGATTTTGTATTTTGTATGTGTGTTAATACTGGTCTTCGTTCATGTTAGGTTCGATTTCCGAAAGTAATCAAAGTGTATTTTGTTCATCTAGTTGCCTGCTATGTCTTATAGTTTGTTTTTTCTTTTATTAATAGACTTTTTGCCTTCTGCTGCAATTGACTTTATTTCTGAGTTTAGTTAATTATAAAATGAAAATCTGCCGAAAATTCGTTGGTTTGATTGCATTTTAGTGATTTAGCTGAAAATATAATTGGGAGTTGCCTTTTGTCTTAATCTTTTGTTCAATACAGTAAGAAAATTGTGGAAGGAACTTAGAGAAATTGTTGTATTATGTCACAAAACCAAAACTTTATGAAATTTTAGGTGTTTTCTTCAGAAAAATACTCATATAGATTTGTCTGAAATTTACATGGATGGTCTTTCTATCCTCTCTGCATTCTGGGCATGTCTTGAATCTGAAGTTTATGCCTTTTGCCTGAAGCAGAACCTACTGTGGTTTCAGTTCTATCAATCGCGGGTTTGTGGTATCCCTACCATATTTTTCTTACTATCAATTACATTGGTTTACAATACCAAACGGTTCCTTATGATGATTCATGTTAGCTAACCCTTATCATTTTAGAACTAAGGCTTTGTTGTTGATCAATCACATTGGTTTATAACATATACTGCTAAAAATTTCCATTAAATGATTAAATCTTTGCATTTTGATTGTTCTCTTGGCATTTATCAAGATACTAATACTCTTATTTTATATTTTTGTATTTGACCAGGGATTTTTTTGTAGAAATTGCTCAACATGAAAATCATCCGGTTCTCTCAAAACCTGAAGTTTACAAACAAGAATTTTACGCCAACTTTTTCGATTTTCATTAGAGATTTTTCTCTTTGGTCAATGAAGAAAGACCCAGATCTTGAATCAGCTCTAACCCATAACCGCCGTTGGATTGTGAATAACCAAATTAAGAACATAATCCTGAGATACCCTAATCAGGTAGTACCTGTTAATTTCATCCAGAAAAAGTTTAAGACCCTTGATCTTCAAGGCAAAGCTCTCAATTGGCTAAACAAGTATCCATGTTGCTTTGAGGTCTTTCGAGAAAACGACGAGCTCTATTGTCAACTAACCAAAAGAATGATTTGCCTAGTAGAGGAAGAAGAGGCCATCAAAGAAGATCAGGAGCCTGTATTTGCTGAGCGGTTGGCGAAAATCTTGATGATGAGCTCAAACCAGAGGCTTAATGTGGTAAAGCTTGATGAATTGAAGCGGAATTTCGGTTTTCCTGATGATTATCTGATTAGATTAGTTCCAAAATATTCAGAAATGTTTCGGCTTATTAATTATAGTGGGAGGAAAAGTTCAATGGAGGTCGAGCTTGTGTCATGGAACCCTGAGTTGCCGATTTCGTGCATTGAAATGTCAGCTAGCAAGCAGAATTTAGAGCCTCGCTTTTCGTGTTCATTGCCTTCGACATGGATTAAATCATGGGAGAGGTTTAATGAATTCAATTCAACGCCATATATATCACCTTACACAAATCCAAGCAGCTTGGTTGAAGGATCAAAGGAGCACGAGAAAAGGACAGTGGCCTTGGTACATGAATTACTATCACTAACTCTTTGGAAGAAAATGTCTGTCATAAAGCTAGGCCATTTCAAGAGAGAGTTTGCTTTGCCAGAGAAGTTAAATGTTTTGCTGTTAAAACATCCTGGCATATTTTATGTAACAAACAAGTATAAGACCTACACGGTTCTCCTCCGAGAGGGATATAATGCCTCAAAGCTGATTGACAAGGATCCACTAGTTGTGGTGAAGGATAAATTTGGGGAATTAATGCAAGAGGGGCTGCATGAGTACAATCAGCGAGGGCGTTTATTGAATCTAGAGAAGAGGAAGAAGAAAGGTATAATAATGCCTAAAGTAGAGAAAAGGAAGGACAAGAATGTGGAGATATCCGAAGAAGAAGATCCGGTAGGTCAGGCTGGACGTCTATTTGATCCTGAGGAAAGGAAAAGGTTTTACAAGATACTATTTGAGGGCGATTCCTGAGAATATGAGAATATGTGGTGCTTATTAATTGGGCACTAATTAAATGGGCAAGGAATCTAGCTGCTGTTTTCTTATATCAGGAATAGTAACATGGAATGAGCTTAGAAGTTCTCAACCAATCTAACAAAACGAAGCAATAGGATTCCGAGATTTGAAGCTTATGCAAAAATATGACCCTCGATTTCGATATAGCATCCAATACTGTTATACTTCTAGGTTATGCTGGTTGTAAGATAAAAACTCAAGTGCCATATTTGAGTAATTCACCTTTTGTTGAGATGTCAGGTGATGAAATCTTCATAAAAGCTGGAATGCTGTAAATACAAGGGAAATTGCAGGGTTTTTTCCTCCTTTTCTCCCTTTTGATCCTGTTTTGGTCTTTCTTTCTGTTTATTCTATTGTAGGGTTCTTTGTGACAGCAATGGCTGAAAGATATACTTCTATGTGAAATATTCCATTTTCTTATTAAATCGATGGGTAGTTTCTTATCTGAACTCTTCTATCTTGTGCTCTTATTACTTTTATTATTAGGCCTGTTGTTTTCTTTTGATTTTGGTCTTTTTGGATCTCATTATTATCCTCTGACTGAGTGTAAAGTGAACAAAATCACTATATAGTTTCAGTGGATTACAGTGAAATACTAGATTGCCATTAAGAACTTCTGTAGTGGATGAAAACTTTGTACCTATGATATAAATTTGCTAATTTTGGTGCACTCTTTTTCGAAAATGTTGTAGTCTATTGTCTACCTTAAGGAAATGTTTGGAATAAAGAACTTACAATAGTTATGAAATATTATCATTCTAAGCCTTTTTCTGATTGTGATATCACTTCTTTTCTGACTATTTCTTACATGAATACAGCTTTTATCTTATATGTAGAAGTCATTGTTACTTTTAATCCTGAAGGTATTAGTGACAGAACTACAAACAGGAATGTTTGTAGCTGTTTTGTTCTTTGAGTCTGTATAATTATAATATTTCTGCTTCTCTTCCTGCTTATTTCTTTTTACTTATATTTCAATTTATGCTAAGCATCCATCTGTTATGCATTATAGATACAATCATACTCATACTGCACTGTGGTTTCAACATTGTGAAATATTGACATCTGAAATGCCTAAAGGTAGTGACCTAATATTAACAATTAGGGAATATTGAAGTTTATTTTTGTAGGCAATAAAGTAATTGCTTTGCAACATATAAAAGATACAGCTTTCAATTTAGATCACAACTACATCCTCACTCTCATATACGATGGATAAGAGGCTCTGAAAATTGTTGCTTATTATTAAACCTCTGAAAATTACCTGAATTCTGTTGCAAAGGTGGACCTAGTAAAAACTTTCTAGAAATGGGTGGAAGCTCTCTAGTAGAAGCACAAGTTGTTTGCTGTAAAGACAATTATCTGCCAATTTTTATGTAAATTGGAGAATTGTGTTGATGAAGCTCAAAAGGATGCAAGAGTGCCAAAATGTCTGAAAAGTTGGTAAAATGCTATCTTAAGTTTTTTACAATAGAAGTCTTGCTCTTGATTTGTTTTTGGTGCTGATAATTCCATATAATTTTGTATGGACTTGCACTGCAGTATCTTAATAATGAGCAGCAGTGATAAGAAAGAAGCAGCCGTGCTGACAGAGACTAAAAAGGTGACTTAAAATAAGGGTTTACACTGAAATTAGAGACTAAAGGTGACTCAAAATATAAGGGTTTACACTGAAACTGTAAAAATAAAGGAGCCTATTGATTAGAAATTATCACTTAGTCCTTCAGCTGTGGTTGCTCAGATGTTACACTGAAATTGCTATATTGTAAATAGATATTGATTATTGGCTCTTGAAGAACTTTGATTTCCCGTAATTTGGACATAGTTTTCTTTCTGTTTCTTGTCACGGAAATCTCCATGCCCTTACGGTTTCTCATCTCTTTTAAAACTAATATCCGAGATGCCTTCGTATGCTAAGTTTTTGAAGAACATGCTCTCTAAAAAAAAAATGTTTGACACTGCAGGTCTTGGAAGAGACACGAACGTGTCTTGGAAAAGCATGTCGGTGCCATATCCAAATTCAGAACACCAGAAGCCACTGCCAAAGAAAATTCATCAAGGCATGTCTGTGTCCCAGCAGGCAGGCTCGTCCCTGCCCCAACAAACAGAAGCAACAGCATGCAGCATTAGACACGTCTGTGCCTTAGGTTAGCACGCCCGTGCCTCATCAGTTTTGAGCGTGCTCTTTTCTTCTTAGTCTGTGTTTTTCCTTCACAACCCCACACTATCACGAATTTCTCTCTCTATACTACCACACCCTCAACACCCTAAATTTCATCACAATATTTTTATCATCTCCATTATTTTCCATTTCTACACCTCCTACACCAATTTTCTACGAAATTCTCACCATAATTCACTCAATCTCTCATCTCACGAAAAATTTGAAAATCCAAACTTTCAAACAAATTTGGGGGGTTTTCTCATATACTCAATTGGAAGCAATTTTGTGGCTTGTGGAGCATTCTAAGGTATAATAGACTACAAGAACGGGTCATTTGTGGGTATTTGACACCCATCACAACTTGGGTATACTCTTTCTCTCTCTACAAATTTCATGGCTTACTTGGTGAAATTTCTTGATGAAATTTGTTAGTTTGTGATTCTTGTGGGAATTTCTTATTTATGTTGACCTTGTTTATGTGGATTGTGATTAATTCTATGAAATTTCAAATGTTCTTAGTAGTCATGGATTAGCTACTTGAAAGAGTTGACTTTGATTTGGTTTTTCTTCATTCTTAGTCTTAATTCTTGATTGATTGTGATGGAATTTTCAAATCCGTAGAAATTGTGGAAGCAATTTTTGCGAGTTAAGATTGATTGCATTGTTTGTTGGTGGTTGTAGTATTTTTTTTAACACAAAGCTACGAATATATTACATTAGGCTATAAGCCATAAGCCATAAAGATGGTTTAAAAACCAAAGATAATTCCCACCACAGAGAGAATTATGAGGGTCACAAAAGTAGTGTTTGTAGGCTGTGGAGCCAAAAATTACAGCCCAAAGTTTGAAACCAAAGGAGGCTACAGCTAAAAATATATAAATACATGCTAACAGATAGCAGGGCAAAAAAATCTTCTTCTGGTAGAGCTAGTTAGCAGCATTGAGATCCACCAGATCCGCTTCTGCTTCAGTCTTGATACAGTCCGGGACAGAAAGGTGCATTTCAATAGCATGGTGTGCCAACTTATGGGCCACCCTGTTACGTTCCCTGGGGATATGCACCATGTAAAGTGTCCAGCTCTTCAGAGTCAGCAGATGAGCAACATCCAACATGACAGCAGCAACCTTGTGATGGGGATTGGCAGTAGCTGAAAGAAGCATATTACTCTATCCTAAGTATTCTTGTTGGTGGTTGTAGTATAGTCATAAGTATTCTTGTTGATTGTGGTATTGTGGCAATTAAACATGGGCATCGTGCCGTGTCGGACTGCCGCGGGCCGTGCCCGAGGGGCTCGTGCCGTGCCATGTCGTGCCAATTTTTGGCACACCCCAGCCCACGTGCCGAGCAACAGGCCGCCCCGGTATTTTTTATTATATATATATATATATCGGAAATTTCACCAAATGCCCCTGAGTAATTTTTTTATTCACCAAATACCCATCAAAACTTTCAAATTCACCATATACCCTTCAATTAAACAAAAATGTCACCATATGCCCAAATTACTAACGGACGTTAACTCCGTTAGTCAATGAAGGTTAAAATCTGCCACGTGGCAGCTTCTTATAGGTTATTTTTAAAATTATTTTAATTTTAAAAAAAATTATCAAAAAATAAAAATGAAAATAAATAAAAACCCCACCCACCACAACCCAACCCCAACCACCACCCGACCCTATCCCCGCCACCCTGACAGTTGCATTGGCGCACGGAATTCATCGATGACCCCCGCCCTTCAACGCGCCGGTGTCCGCACCTTTTCCCCCATTCGCCGGCGTCCTTGTCCTTACCCTAAACCACCATGTCCCGTCCTTAAAAGCATTGTTTTTTTGCGGAAAAACCCTCCCCTTGCTCCCCCATCGCCGGCGTCCTAATCGCCTTCCCCGTGCCACATTTCCCCTTGAAACCCCTTCGCCGGTGGCAGCCCAACCCTCTCCCCCACGCTGCCACCCCACTAAGTCGAAAACCACCACCTCGAAACATTAAAACCCCAAAATCGAAACCTAGGTTTTAGTTTTTGGGGTTTTTGATTTTGGGATTCGACGTGGTGGTTCATCGGTTGGAGATGGCAGGGGGAGGGGCATTTGGGTTTGGCGGCACGGGGAGGGGCGATATCGCTGTCGCGAGGAGGGGATTTGGATGTCGACGGTGGTCAAGGAAAAGGAGGATTTCCGAGGGAGATTTGCAAATCGGGGGAAGGGTGGTTGGGCAGCGTCGCCGACGCGAGGTGGCAGGGTAGAGTTGCCGGCACTAGATGGCTGGCAGAGTCGCCGGCGCGAGGTAGCTAGGCTGAGTTGCAGGCTTGGTGGTTCAAGGCAGGCTGGTGGTGGCGGTAACGTGCTGGTGGTTTGGGTGGGGTTGGGGTTGGTTTTTTTTTTTTTTTTTATAAAAAAATTAAATTCTTAAGTTGTTTTAAATTTAATTTAATTAATTGAAAAGACAGCCAATAAGATACTGCCATGTGGCGTACTTAACCCTAATGACAAACGGAGCTGACATCCGTTAGTCATTTGGGCATATGGTGACAATTTTATTAAATTGAAGGGTATATGGTGAATTTGAAAGTTTTGATGGGTATTTGGTGAATAAAAAAATTACTCAGGGACATTTCATGAAATTTCCGATATATATATATATATATTATTTTTTAACATAAATCGATTTTTTTTTTTTTGAACAACTTTAAAATTAAGTTTAGGAAATTTTGCGAAAAACTACCATTTAAATGACCACTTTTGAGAACAACTACCATTTAAAATTTTCTTTTGAAAAAACTACCACAAAAACACAAAAAGTTTGAGTAGCACTACCACATTTATTGTTTCCGGCAAGAATCTCCGTTTTTGGGCATATTTTATAAAAATTTCCCTTAAAAAACCCAAATTAAATGATAATATTGCACTACATTAACCCTTAATTGGATTATACACTTCAATTTCCCCAAATCCCCCAATTTCGTAAAGCCCTTAATTCAATTTTTTAACCATAAACCCTAATTTTAAGATTTAATTGGGAAATTAAATAAACTATTATGCAAAATTAAAGATAATTGACCTATAATTGTGTTTTACTATCGAAATTTCTTATTTTCTATAACACAATTGATTGAAATTTGATAAACTAGGCTTTCTCAACCGGAAATTCTTGCCGGAAAATAAAACGTGGTAGTGCTACTAAAACTTTTTGTGACTTTGTGGTAGTTTTTTTAAAAGAAAATTTTAAATGGTAGTTGTTTTCAAAAGTGGTCATTTAAATGGTAGTTGTTGACAAAATTTCCTTAAGTTTATACAAATAATTTTATTCATTTATGTTTATGTTTATGTTAATATATATTTTTTGCAACAACTTTAAAATTAAGTTTATATAAATAATTTATGTTTAAGTTTATATAAATAATGTGTGCCGTGCCGGTGGGCCGTCCCACGGGCCGACGACCGTGCAGCCCGCCGTGCCTGTGCCAATTTTCAAAATTTGTGTTCACGGCGTGGGCCGCCGTGCCATGCCGTGTCGGAATCGTGCCGGCACGGCCCATGCCCACCTTTAGTGGCAATCTTGGGATAATTCTTGTTATCAGTTAGGGTGGTGTAGCTTTGTTGTGCTTGATTGGTTATTGTTTCTTTGGTTACTTCTTGGTGTCTTTGATTGCTTAATTGTGAGTCATGGCCTCCTCTTTAAACCCTAGAAGAAACCAACCAAGAAACACTTCCACTGCCAATTATAGAAATTGCCCACCACCTGACATCCCATTCAACAACCCAACCCCCTCCTATCGACACTTATGGAATTGATTTGGGAACAATGAGCAATCTATGGCAAAATTCCTTAAGATTCGACAAAGGTCCATTGTCTCTACTAGATTTATGAATAGAGTCGCCACTCTAGCCTTAGAAGTTGAAGATAAGATGTTGAGATTATTCACTTGTGCAGGTTGGGCTCCCTTATTATACAAGCATGCATACACTTACACCCATCTTACTTTCGAGTTCGTCTCAACATTGACCGTCAAAATGGCTACACCCCTAACTCCCTAAGGACATATCATTCAATTGTTTAGGTGTACGTCATACTCTCACGGTTAGCCAAGTTAACCAATTCCAAGGATTCTTTTCGCATGGAAAGTTAACTAGACCAAACCGCTTTAGGATAGAGGGGTATTCAGATAAAGCGTTTTGGAGGGACTTAACTGGACTATAGTAATATGACCCTAGTTGATCCATTGCCACATGCATTTTTCATCATGTCCTCAGATATATATAGTTCGACTCCTCTCTTGTACTCTTTTCGCTAGGAATAATACTTGGGGTGTATGCTCTGCTAAGGAGCTATAATTTTTGTGGCATATCGTGGTTGATTCCGTTCGGGATGTCCAGGGAAATGAGGATGTCTCCAGACAAACTTTTAATCCCGGTATGTGGTTCATGGATTATTTGTATAATGTTCTGGGTCTGGGGAGATCGCTATATGGGTGTAATTATCTTGCTTTTTATTAGTGCCACTAATGTACTTGATCTTTCCGTTTTAGAGCCAAATAAAATGGGTGGTACTATCAACCTTTAATTGTAGAGTTAGAGGACAATGAATTGGATGAAGAAATAACAAGACGACCGAGGTTATGTGTGGCTTGTTCGAAGGATATAACTGAGTGTCAACAAAATACGAATGAGATGACGATCCAGCAAGCTAATGCATTCTATACTACTAGAATCGCCCACAACATGACGACGGATCATGCCACCCATATCCTGAAACGCTGAGTGCATTGAAGTGAATTGACTTTTCATCTCGCCAAAAGTAGTGGCCATTCTATCGTGAGTTTTCACTAGGTTTTCATAATCCGTTCTTGTGTCCGTAAAATCCCTTCTCAGGCCATCAAAGTCAATTTTCATGTAACCAAAGTCAATCCTTTTACGTGAAATTTGCTCCTCTAGTGTAAGTGGTTGGTTGCCACCTTGAAATGCTTTAGCACCTTGAAATGGTTGGGCACCACCTTGGAGCATGGCTGCATGGGGATGTCTTCCTCCATGTTTTGCTGACCATCCCTTATCGATAATGGGACACCTTCAACCAGGGTGGAAAAACGAAGTTTAGGGGAATGGACTATGTCTCCGGTCATTTAATCTCAAGGAGACCCTCTCTTGGGAGGGTTGCATAAGGCACAGGAAGTGGGAGATTTGGCCTTCCAACAAGCCACACATAACCTTGGCCGCCTTGTTGTTTCTTGATCCAGTTCATTGTCCTCAAACTCTGCAATTCAAGGGTGATAGTACCACCTATTTTATATGGATTTAAAACTAAAAGATCAAGATCATTAATGGCACCAATAGCAAGCAAGGTAATTATACCCCTTGTAGCAATCTCCCTATAACCCTGAGCAACATTGTACAAATAATCCATGAACCACGCACCGGGTTAAGAGTCCGTTCGGAGCCATCCTCATTTCCTCGAACATCTTAAGCGGAGTTAATCACGATATGCCACAAAAAAATATAGCTCCTTAGTAGAGTAGACACCCCCAATGCTATTCGTAGCAAAAAGAGTACGAGAGAGGAATCGGACTATATATCCGAGGACATGATGAAAATGCATGAGGTTATGGATCGACTAGGGTCATATTGTTCTTGTCCAGTTAAGTCCCTCCAAAATGATGTATCCAAATACCCTTCTATCCTAAAGCGGTTTGATCTAGTTAACTTTTCATGTAAAGGAATCCTAAGATTGGTTAACTTGGCTAATCGTGAGAGTATGACATACACCTAAACAATTGAATGATATATCCTTAGAGGTGTAGCCATTTGACCTATGGTCGATGGTAAGGTGGAGAGGAACTCGAAAGTAAGATTGATATAAGTGTATGCATGCTTGTATAAGAAGGGAGCCCAACCTACACGAGTGAATAATCTCAACATTTCATCTTCAATTCTTAAGGCTAAAGTGGCGCCTCTATCCACAAATCTAGTAACGACAATGGACCTAAGTCGAATCTTAAGGAATTTTGCCATTTATTGCTCATTGTTCCCAAAATCAATTCCATAAGTGTCGATAGGAGGGGGTTGTATAGGTGGTGGGATGGGTTGTTGAATGAGTTGTCATGTTGGTGGGCGATTTCTAAGGTTGGCAGTGGAAGTGTTTCTTGGTTGGTTTCTTCTAGGGTGTGAAGAGGAAGCCATGACTTGGTCTTCAAGTAAAAGCTCTTAATTGGACAAAATCAATAATTGTGTTGCTTTATTTCCAAAAAATGATCATAAAGCTAAGTTAATTCAGGAGAGTTTGTGTTGCCTGCTGAGAAGTTAATCTTTTGCTGTTCAGAACTTCAGACATTCTGGCTCCTTCTATATATAATTTAGATAAAAGTTTACAATCTAAATGGTTTTCTTTGAGAGAGTTATTGTAGCTTAAAATTGATTCACAATGCAATTAAGGATAGTTTTGGGGGACTTGCAAGAATGGTTTTATGAGTTTTTAAATGTGATAACATCTCTTTGTGTGCTCAGGACGTTGTACCCAATGGTTATGATCTGGTGGTATCAAATATGATTATGGGTTACTTTAACCCAAGAACAAGATGAAAGGAATGATTGTGCCATGAATAGGAGGAAAGTAAGGAAAGAAATTCTGAAATTTCTGAATAGATCAATTTGGTTAGAAATTAGAATGGAGGTCCAATTGAAGGTTTTACCATGTTTTCTTTTATTTTTTGAGTTTCTAACTTGTATAGATAGATTGAAGTTGGATTGATCTTTAATTGATTAAGACGAATAGATAAAGAGTAAGTGAATTGAGAAAATAAGACAAGCTAGAAAAATACAAGATTTTTACGTGGTTTGGTCAATCTGACATACATCCATGTTTGAGGAGATATAGTCTTTCTATTATTGTGATGGAAGAGTACAATATGATCAGCAAGAGTAGCAATTAAATTCTCATGGCTTCCATATGAATGGCACGGCTATGTCTTTCTGCACCATGACCCTGCAAGCCTGCTTCTCTGAAACAAGAATCTTCTGGAAACTTTGCGCTGCTATTCCAAACGATGCCACCCAACCCAGTCATGATGACAAACTCTTCAAAGCTCAGAACTTGCTTCAAATAGGTGAACAGCAAAGCACTTCATAACTAGAGGCCTTGATTTTGCACTACCATGGCTATTCATTAATCTCATTTTCATTATTATGATGTGTATAGAACGTTGATAAGTGGTTATTTTTATCACTTGATCTGAGGGCCACAATATATTTCTATGAAGCACTTGTCAAATTGGATGGACTACACATTTATGCTGGGTTTTTTTTTTTCCTGCTTTTGCTCTCTTCTGTATTGTGCATACTACTTTTAACCGTCAAGCCTAATGCTTTCCTTTATTAGTTTCTCAAATATCTTCGAGTTGAGCTGTCAGATAAAGTTATAGTGGGTTTCCTTAGCAGATTGTCATTGAGAACTCTGCATTATGGGAACTTTGTGCCATATGCCATGTTGTGCTTTTTCAAAAACTCTGTAAGAGTAAGATTTGTAAGCAATGGACTTTTTGGTCTGTAAGACTGTAACTGAGGATATTGTTTTTTTAAAAAAGTAATATGCTGCATCTATGTTTAACCATAGTGCTGCTGTTGTCTGATTAATGTAACAGTGAGTCCACTATTCCTTTTTTTGAAGCACTGTAGTCAATTTGCAAAAATGTTAGAGTTGTATTTATTACAATGGTACTTTTCTTTCTTTGAGCCCTTATTACATGACCCTAAGATACAGCAGTAGCAGCATCAATGACGAAGGTGACTAATGGCTTAGCAGTAATTATCTCACTTATATTAAGCTGAAGAGCCTGAACAGATGACGTAGGAGTTGCTGTCATGGACTACTTGCTTAATTAGCCGGCCATTTTCATGTCTAAGCTTATCTAAAACTCTTTCAACAGAGTACAGAGGAGTTAATGTTGCCTAAACAGCTTTCAGACTGCTAGATTATCATCAAGAGCTCCCTTTGCCTTTCAAACGAAGTATTACCCTTGAAAAAAAAAAAAAAAAAAAAAAAAACTAAGCCTGTGGCAGTAATGCAGAATCAGATTAATAGCTTATCAAAAATTGAATCTCTTAAAGAACTCGACTAAGATAAGACAAGTTTGACTCCTGTTCATTATTTTATTTTCTTTTCTTCTCAGGTCATTCAAGCTGTGTTTGAGTAGACATCTGACTTTGTGGATATATGATCCGCAAACGTCTGAATCTCCTGGTTTCTGTGGCAAGAACCTTTCCATAACTGAGGGAGCTAGCAGAAATGGTGATGCACCTTTCAGTGATGTGCAACTGTGCAATTATTGGTTGAAGCTGTCAAGCTGGGATAATCTCACAATAACTTACTCTGAGCCTCTGAGGCGTCAAAAGTTGCTACCAAAAACGAAAAAGTAAAGGTCACCCGTCACCTCAGTCTCATACAAAAATTTTCCCTTGGTGACTTTCATACCTTTGCATTTGTCAGAACTCAGAAGAAGCTTCCCCCAGTAACACGATAAAAACAGGCAACCACAATCTGCATTTGAGTTTGTCGAGTGATGGAAAAGAGGCAATGAGTCAAAGAACTGCATTTCTTATTCAGATATGGACATTGTATAACCTTTCCGGTGAGAAACTAACAAGGTGCAAGCCCGAAGCCTTGAGCAGAAGCTATTTGCTGATTAATCCTTACATGTAGTGATTTGACATACCAAACAAAGATTGTTTATATTGTCCTGTTTTCAGTATGTACACCATTACTTATGGTAATGTAAGGTCATTTACTTATTAGCATGGGTTTCATAGTCTTCATTCTGCCGCGTGTAGCAAGAAATGAACTTCCTATTTCCGGATGATTAAAATCTTAACAGAAATTAGAATTGTCTGATTTGTTTAACAGAATAATTAATTTTTGCATTCTTTCCTCCTCGCATCCCCCACTCCTATCCCCTTCCTCGATTTCTAGCAAGGAAAGTCTTAAATCTGATGTCAATTGAAGATATCTTCAAGTGAAAAAATGAAGCAGTTTAGGAATAAACTTTCCTCTAAACCAAACACATTCTTATGATAGCATAACTTTGCCACTACAATGCTAAATGTATAGTCTTAGCATTTATACTGCAAAAGATTATCCAAAGAAACTCTAATTACATGTTACTCCAAAATCACCATCATAGTCAATTAACTTGGATAATTAGTCAAAACTCTATTTAATATTAAAATAAAGAATTACTCTAATAATTTCCCAGAATAATTTCTTATCTCAAATAAAAAAAATATAATAGAATGGCTAGAGGAATTGAACAAGTAGTATTAAACCATAATAATAATTAGATTTCCGTAATTCCATTGAACATAAAACAAACATTCAGACTTCCATTTAAATACACAAATCTTCACTACAAAACCCTAATTACCCAAATCCATCCCCAAATTACAAACCCTAATTAAAATCAACCAAACTTAATCTCAAGCCCTTTCACCACGAATCCGACGAGCAAGCTGAATATCCTTAGGCATAATAGTAACCCTCTTAGCATGAATAGCGCAAAGGTTAGTATCCTCAAACAAACCAACCAAGTAAGCCTCAGCAGCCTCCTGAAGAGCGGCGACAGCGGAGCTTTGGAAGCGAAGGTCAGTCTTGAAATCTTGAGCAATTTCTCTTACAAGCCTCTGAAATGGGAGCTTCCTGATGAGGAGCTCAGTGCTCTTCTGGTACTTCCTGATCTCTCGAAGCGCAACGGTTCCGGGGCGGAAACGATGGGGCTTTTTCACTCCGCCGGTGGCTGGGGCGGACTTGCGAGCAGCCTTGGTGGCTAGCTGCTTCCTTGGGGCTTTTCCGCCAGTCGATTTACGGGCAGTTTGCTTTGTGCGAGCCATTGATTGTGGATTTGGAGGTTTTTGAGGATAGAAAATGGAGGGAAAGTTTGATTTTTTTTGGATGTTTGATTGATTGAGTTTGAGATGAGTAGAAATGGTGGGATGGGGGGTTTATATAGGAAAGAGAAGGCGGGAGTTTGAAATTTTTGAGGATTTTTTTGATTTGTTTGAAAGGTGTTTTGAGGTTGATTTTGAGGCGTTGGATTTTAGGGAAATGAACGGTGAAGATTGGGTTTGTGAGGGAGCACACAGATCACGATCCGTGTATCACTGGTTTTCGTTTTATTCTCTTAATCTCTTTTCTAAATGGTACGGAGTAAGATATAAATCATTTTTCCTCCGTTTTTTTTTGTTGCAAACTTGCAATAATTTGACTTTTACATTATTCATGTATTTTACTTTGATTAGCTTTAACGATTTATAATTAAATAAAAATATAATCATGTGGGATTTTGTTAGAGTCAATCGTCTCGACTTATACAATTCTAATATCAAATGTTTATAATTTAACATCGATTGAAAACATGCATCGGCAAGCGTGAGAAGAGAAGTGTTGCAACTATTAAAAAAAAAAAAAAAAAAGGAAGTATAATCAATACCTTTCCTCAAAAAAAATATACTACCTTGTTTGAGAGATATAAAATATATATATAACATTCCTATACTATTATTACTATCCTTTCAAATTGGAATGGTTAAGTGGTTGTAATGTTTTGATTTACAACTTCATCTTTACTAAAGTTGTTGTGATCTTTAAATTATACATTCTTAGACATTATTTAGTATCACCGTATATATAATGTCTAAGAATGTTTTATTTTTGGAACTTCCTAATTAAAAATTATTGTATGAGTTCTATTTACTTTGTCTAGTATTAGCATAAAACTATTCCCACTAAGTATATGCACCAATTCATCTTGAAGTTTGACGTTTTGGTACTTTAATCATGCAACTTGACTAAGTTTCGAAAGTTGTTGCATGGGTTATTTTGAAAAACTTTAATCTGGATAATAATAATTAATTGCGAGTGACACTTCATGCAAATTTAATTACAAAAATGTCTCGTATCAATGCACAAAAAAAAAAAAAAAAAAAAAAAAAAAAACACATTTCGTATCAAATTAGTCCTTGCTTGAATTAGGGCTAGTAAGTTAGGGAGGTAAAATTTATGGGGTAAAAACTTACTCTTTCTAAACTATAAAAGGGAATGCATTAATCAATTAAGAAAGCTATATACAAATATGAAAAGTTGAAAATAATGTCAAATTCCATTATTTTTCACACATAACAGAAATAAGCACTCAAAATATTTTAAGTTGATGGATCTTTTGCGGAGATACTGAGATAGTGACATAGTTTAGGGTCAAGGATCGTTTATTGGATTGTGTACCTTTTAATACATAACAAAATCAAGCACTCAAAATCAAAGGATCTGAAGCCTAGCTAGACACTATAAAGGACCGGGTATAGCTCACTCTTCATCTTCCTTAGCTTTTCACCATTTTACCACCAGCTGCTTTCTTCGCTACTACGAGGTAACAAATTAAGTTGCGTAATTCAAGTTTCGTCAAATTAATAGTAGAGGAAGTATATGACCAAACATTGTTGAATTGTATGTAGTTTTTGTTTATCAAATCAGATTTATATTAAATTATTAATTAATATATAGCAAAAACAAATTTTATTTTTATAGATATAGATTTTGCATGTAATTGTTACCCCTTTTTTTTTTGTGACAAGACATGTAATTGTTACCCTAGCCCCTAGGAGAGGTTAGTGGAATATATTACCCTAACAAATACATTAGGATATTATACGAAAATTAAAGAAAATAATCTAAGGTAAAATGAAATGCATGACATTAGAATAATGTTACAAGTAATTAGTTAATTAATTACCATAAGATTTAAGGGTTCCACTACATAAAATGAGCAAACAATGAATGCTTCAAATAAATAGAGACAAAACAAATTAGTATTGGGTGGCCGTCTTCATGTCCGCTACTCTTGCTGCCAAACCACACCGCGAACAGATCCCCGCCACTAGTCTTTGGTTTTGCATTATTTCACTCTTCTAGAGTTCTAGTCCACTAAAAAAGCATTTACATATAGCCATTATCAAAGTTATTATCACCTTACCTCCTTGAGTAAAAGTTTATTCGATGAGAATGTGAAATGTATGGACTATTCAAGTTAAGTTTCATTTAGAATTTGTAAGCTCTGTTGAGTTAGTGTAACTCTAGGGAAGGTTAGTGTAAATTATTACCCTTAATTCCTGAAATGGAGGGGGGAAATTATGGGCCAAACCATTTAACCTCTTCAGTCCAGGCCTACTATTATAGGATAGTGGCATATTCTTAGGTGCACACTCATGCACCTAGAAATAAGTGTAAACAGCACAATATGAACATTAGGTTTACAAAAAAAGAACATATGCATAAAAAATATGAACATTAGGTTTCCAGAAAGTGAACATAGGCATAAAAATGTGTGATTTTCGATTTTTTATGCGGTGACTTTGTGATTAACTTCGATTTATTGGTTTATACTACCTCCATTAACATTTAGTTGCAACTTTGGGGCATTATTTGAGAGACATAAAATATTCCAAAGTTGCAACTAAATGTTAACGGAGATACTATATGATTTTCTTAATTCTAATGAATTGAATTTTATCTGATTTTCTACAATTTTTTTTAATAAATGAACATAATTATGCAAAATATGAACATATGAATAGGTTCCGTTAAATGTGAACATTAGATTTTTGAAAAGTGAACATAGGCATAAAAAATATGAACTTATGCATTTCAGAAAGTGAACATAACATTTCAAAATATGAACGTATGCATTGGTTTTCTTAGAGTGAAAATAAGCATTTAAAAGGGGAACATATACGTAAAAAAATATGAACATAAACATCTAAGAAAGACAACATATGCATAAACATATTTAATTAATATTTCATGAGCAACACGTATTTACATTATGAATATTTGAAATTATATATGAACATATAATATATTATTATGAATATAATGCATTTAATTATGAACATAAAAATTTGAAGAAATAAAAAATAATATGATTATGAAACATATGCATTATAAGTATTAAATGTTCATATTTAAAAGGGGATCTACTCCTGTGTTAAGAGGGTCTTGCCAGAAATTGACCCGAACTGACTAGACCCAAATTGATTTAATTTGACCCGAAATTGACCCAGCTTGATCCCACTTGAACATAACCCGAAAAGATGACATGAATTTGACCCGAAACCCTAATTGACCCGACTCGAACTGACCCGAATATTTACTGACCCGAAATTGACCCGATACGAACGACCTATTTGCCAGGTCTAACATAAATTAATATAAAGGACTTCATAATTAAACACATTAACTAACAAATTTCAACAAATAAGTAGTATTTCAGCATGTAAAAGTAATTGTATAAATATGAATAGTAAACATACATTATTACTTTTGTTGGCAGGCAAAATATTTTAATAATTATAACATTGATAAATTTGAAACTAATCAATGAGATTTCAAACTTGATGATCATGTGTCTTTTGCAGGATATCTTACAATTTGGGCAAGAAATGCTGCCTCAACCTCAAGTGACCTTTAGAGGCGTTAGAGCACCGGTATGTATAACACATCGAAATTCCTTGTCTCCTGTAGCATTAGATGTACAATACAAGTATAAAAAACTAACTGTAAATGAGGACCAGCCAGTTCCAATTCCGATACCCGTAATCTTTACTCACCCTTACTCTGTAACCTGATAAAAGTGTCACTTAAGTCTAAATCATACATCAATTCAAACCTAATTTTAATAATAAACTACTTTGAGTTTAATTTGTTGTATTTACAAGTTACAAGAGTTAAAAATTTATGACCACAAACAATTTGAAATAATTTTGCAAAAAGTAAAATATATATCAAAAGACAAGATATTCTGAATCGAAACTGGAATCTAGTTTCCATTTTCAGAAACCTATTCAACAAGTTATGAGATGTATTAGCATATAAATTATCCATAGAAATAATTTTGCAAAAAGTAAAATATATATTAAAAGACAAGATATTCTGAATCGAAACTGGAATCTGGTTTCCATTTTTCAGGAACCTATTCAACAAGTTCCAGAAATTTTAACTACTGAGATGTATTAGCATATAAATAACCCATAGAATTGTTCATCACTTAAAAATCTTAGTGCGAAATATCAGAGGGTTTTTCCAATTTGAGCTCTAAACGTAAACTAATGACAAAAATGGTTGCGTGGCAAAACTATTTACCAAACTAAGCTTCCAGGGTAAATCGCTGTCTCGGACAGCGTTTTACCCCTGGTTTTTTTTTAAAAAAAAATTCAACTACAACTATTTTATATGTTCAACATAAAGCGCTGTCTCAGACAGCGCTTTATGCTTGAACATAAAACGCTGACTCAGACAGCGCTTTATGCTTGAACATAAAGCGCTGTCTCAGACAGCGCTTTTTTGCTGGAAACAGCAACCAGCATCCAGGCAGAAAACAAGCTTCAGCAAACAGCTTGCATGCTGCAGTCCTCCAACAGCCACCACAACAGCCAGCTCCACAGCCCTACCCCACCACCGTCGACCACCAACTCCGCCACTCCCCACCACGTACCACCACCATATTCTGGGAGTTTCGTCAACTTTAAGCACTGCAGAAAACTCGAAACAGCCCAACAACAGTCCAACCACCAAATTAACTTCAAAGCACACACGGAGTCATTCAAAAAAGATTTATTATATTAATTTCATAAGTGTTATGTACATCATTACACAAAATAACAGGGAATACAACAGATAATACTAGCCCGACTCATTTATTCGGGGTAAAGGTCCTGCCTCCTGAGTGTCGGCCCTCCGTCTGACACGTCGCCGCCTGTAATGAGTGACGGTGGTGAATGGGTCTCGGGGCGGTGGGGGAGTCAGCTGACTGGACGAGGGGTCCTCCTGGGTACCAGAGGGCGCAGTACTGTGGATGTTGTAATCCTCTGCGTGTCTGGGTGACGTAGGATCACATCCACCGCTGCTCTGGCCGAGATCGAACTGTGAGTTGCCATCATGACCGTCCCGCCGGTGGGCGAGATGAGCGTGACCATATCTCCGTAAGGTAGCGACGCCCATATCTCGCACCTGCTCGACCTGGGCTCTAGTGGGTCCGCACTCAAGGGAGACTGATAGCGCATCAACCATCGCCACCATATCCGCCGCCTGCAGTAATCATCGATCAGTCAGATCTATGGCATACAAATATGGAAATTGTTGAAAAGGAGTAGAAAAATAATAACTCACATATCCGCTAATGATGTCATATGCTGGATGGTAATGTGTGGATGGTGGTGCGTAGCTGGGGTTGATGAAGCGTCGTGTGATACGCCTGTACCACACCATGTACGGATCGTCGGGATCCATAGCCCCCTGCATTAGATCACCTCCAACGATGAACTCCAACCGTTGCTCCCATAGCTGAAGGAAACGCCAATGCTCCAGCGCCCAGCTGGTCTCCCCCTTTCCCCGACGATCAATGCCGTGAAGCTGTACACTAGTGTCACACCCCTGTGGGATAGTCTGGCGTAGTCCAAACTGCCTCATGACTCGGTCGGGCAGGTGACTCTCCACAACCTGTACACTAGTGTCACAACCCATTGAATTTTTTTTAAAAAAAACCCAAGGATAAAACGCTGTCCGAGACAGCGTTTTATGCCCTACTGAATTTAAAAAAATACAGAAGGTAAAACGCTGTCTGGGACAGCGTTTACCAGTTGAATTTTTTTTAAAAAAAAAACCAGGGGTAAAACGCTGTCCGAGACAGCGATTTACCCTGGAAGCTTAGTTTGGTAAATAGTTTTGCCACGCAACCATTTTTGTCAATAGTTTACGTTTAGAGCTCAAATTGGAAAAACGTTCGAAATATCACCTCCATAGACCAGAACTGTTGTTCTCTTCGTTCGCTATAACATTATTAAACAACAAAAAATGGTCGGCTTCACGAGAAATCACTGATCTGGTAGAAACAATATAGTAAATTCAGCACATCCTTAAAGTGAAGATAATGTTACAACACCTCCTGCCTCATGTTTCTAAATAAGTTGAAAATTATTCATTAAGACAAGAATGATTATTTTAACTTAGCAGGGAATAGTTTCTAATCTGTCACACTTCAACAGGATCTAAATCGATTAGTAGCCACATGATTATAGCCTTTCTTTTGTTTGTTCGTTGTGTGTATGCGCGCGCTATGTTAATCGGATACGGCTAAAATCACAAAGTGTCCTGTCGACACAGATAAGTGTCCAGTCGACACAGTCACACAGATACGTGTCCGACACTTCATTGTACACTTGGACACTTCCATTAAAGGGGCGTTTGGTATGACTAGTGGAAATGGAGTGGAAAGGAAAAAAAAATAAATGAGAGGAATGAAATCATTTAACTCTAACCTTTTCATTTAATTTGTTTGGTTTAATCTTGGAAAAAAATCACTTAAACCTATCTTCCTTTGTTTTTGTTTGAGGAGAGTAACGCCCTGTTCTCTTCACCTTAAAAAAATAATATTAAGTAAAAATAATTTCAGTTCAGTAAAAATAAGTTCAGTTCAGTAAAATTAATTTTAGCTCAGTAAAAATAATTTCAATTCAGTAAAAATAAGTTTAATTCAGTTTTCTTAAAGAAGAATTATAATAGAAAATCAGTAAAAATAATTTAAGTTCATTAAAAATAATTTCAGTTCAGTAAAAATAAGTTTAATTCAGTTTTCTTAAAGAAGAATTATAATAGAAAATCAGTAAAAATAATTTAAGTTCATTAAAAATAATTTCAGTTCAGTAAAAATAAGTTTAATTCAGTTTTCTTAAAGAAGAATTATAATAGAAAATCAGTAAAAATAATTTAAGTTCATTAAAAATAATTTCAGTTTAGTAAAAATAAGTTCAGTTCAGTAAAAATAATTTCAGTTCAGCAAAATTAAGGTAAATCAAACAGGGCCTAAGGATAATGGTTTCCTTAGGTTTTAGAGAGGTAATTAACAAATGGGTGGAAACCATTACCTGCCTAAACCTTCTAACCAAACACTTGGTAACAGTGATGGTTTGTTTGAATCCGTTTCCAATCAAAAAACACTCCAACCAAACATGCTCTAAGCGTGGAGAGGATAAAAGAGGAGAAACATCAAAGAAAAACACATCTTGTTCAAAGAGCACCATTGATGGAGAGAAAAAGGTTGCCAATTTAATGGAGAATTTACCGAGAAAAGAATTATTAAAAAAAAAAGGGCAGCCAGGTGCACATTGGCGACCCCGCTAGGCGAGGGTCCGAGAAAGGGTCTCACCTCAAGGGCGTATAGGGGGAAAGCCTTCCCTTGTCAATTTTGACAAGAGGTCGCTCCTAGGACTTGAACCCGTGACCTCAAAGTCACGCACGACACCTTAACCGGTGCGCCAAAGGCTCTGAGAAAAGTATTAAAAAAAAATGTCGGACATAATGAAAAATTTAAAGCTTTTGTAATATATATATATATATATATATATATATATATATATATATATATATATATATATATATATGTAATCTATTGACGTGATCCTGTACCAGTGTCCAAATATTGGACATAGTCCCCATGTCATAAAATTTTGGAACTTCCCAGATCGGATATTTGGACATGTGTCGTGTCCAACACCCGTTCCTGAGTCCATGTAAAATAGTGTGCGCACGTGCACTATTTTGGGGAACATGTTGATTAGATGCCTCCTAACTCTTGATAATACCTAGTATTATTATTGATATTAACTTCCATAACTCTATAACTGTGATCTAATAGAACAATATTACATAGGATGAAGGTTTAGCATCACAAGATATCAATGAACGGGTAAGGAAAGAATCTGCTCATCCTTACTAAGTTATTCTTAATTATGGAACTTGACTGGCTTAATAGAACAGGACACTAATAGCAAATCGGTCACCAATAACACACCATTATGTTCTACAAAATAAAACACGAGTTATAACCTTAATGCCTCTTGGTTGTGAATTTGGCAGAGCAATGCACCAGAGCGAGAAAGGACAATTTCCCAAGAGCCAGAAGATGCAGCTGATCTGGTAAGAAAATACAAGGCTGCTTTACATAAGTATGATCATTCCACTGTATCTAGCTTATACTGAAAATTTCATGATTACTAGAATAATATGAACCATACATCTAGTATATATGATCATTAGAGGAAAGACTAGTATTTATAGGGATCTGCAACTTTATATTAAACAAAAAAATTCCAAATGTCTATCTAGTTAGAGTTGAAAAGACAGAGTCCCTAAGAAGCCTTGAAAACTAATCAATCGTACAGATTGTTATAGTCTATTCCTTAAAATATTAGAAGTTTGTTAACTTTAAATACTCTTCCCATTATATTCTTGTTGATTGTTTGTGAGGATCAGTGAGCTTATAATTATAAATAGTTTATCATTGTACTCACGCTTTTGATCAATACACTGATATTCAATCTCTATTTATTATATCTTTCTTCCCTTCTCTGCGTTTTTTCTGCTATCCTTTTTTTCAGTCAATCGGAATACACCATTGCTGGTGCACATTAATAGGTTCTCTTGAGCTATCCCATTGGGTATCAGAGCCGACTTATACCCCTTTCTACTGGGTATCAGAGCCGACTTATCCCCCTTTCTACGTTTCTGCTGTAAATTTCATCAAGGAATTCTCATTTCTAGAATTATCCTTCATTCCATGATAAGTGTAAAGCAAACCCAGATTGAAATATCAACTCTGGCGCCTGCAATTTCAAGGGTTGAGTGAGATGGTTGATTATTCTCAAGGGGAGGAGCACTTAGCAGCTTCAAAGGAAGAATATTGCTACACAATCTGTCCCAGTAGCTGATGGGCACCACTTAGCATCACAGTCAGTTTGCAGATAGTTTTCATGAATTGCAGAACATTCAATTCGGCTTTAACATGATGAGTCATCATTAATGACCATACCTTTGGGAAGTTGTGGTATGGTGTTAGGTGTTCAGTGACTTAAGTTGTGATATGGTGTTAGGTGTTCAGTGACTCATCGTTCAGTGTTTTAGGCACTGTTAAGTGGGATTTTATGAAGTTATTGATGGAGCTTGACTTCAATGCCCTAAGCAATTAAGCATGTGGTTATAGGCTGGAATTTTGCCTAGAAAAGTAAAAACAAAATCTGAACTAGAAGTCAAGACACTACTCCCTCCGTCCCCAATATTCTGCTCCATTCGACTTTTCGCAATCTTCAACACATGATTTAAAACAATTTCATCTCCATTTTCATGTGTAAAATTTATAAAAACCAGATATTAAAAAAATATATATAATCAGAGGTTAGGTAGAGTTTTCTACGGATTTAATTTCTCGTCTGCCTAACTCATATAGGAAGTAACATTTGTTGTAGTGGACAAATTGAGCAAGTACAACCATTTTATGGTATTAAAACATCCTTCGACTACAATTAATCCAGCTCAAGTGTATTTGGATAATGTGTTCAAGTTGCATGGTTGACCTAGGTCCATTGTGAGTGATAGATATGCAACTTTTCTAATTAAGCATTTATTAACAAGATCTATATTCTATTAAGGGGTCAGATTTGCTAAACCATCCTCAAATGGATGGCCAGATTGGGTGTTTATAAATGTACAGAAACATTTTTGAGGTGTATGTGAAGCACCAAAAGACTGGAGTTTATGGCTTTCATTGGGAGAATTACACCTTATAAATGGTGTATAATCAGCCACCACCCTTGCAATTATCCTATCTCGTTGGACAATCAAAGGTTGATTGGTGGACAGGTCTTTGAAAAACAGAAAAAGGTGATTCAAGCTCTGAAACATCAACTTGGAAGTGCACAGGAGAGAATGAAAAGATAGGCTAATGAAAGAAGTGACAAGAAGTTTCAGAATAGAGCTTGGGTTTGGTTACAGTTCAGCCATACAAGCAAAAAATTTAAAAATTATGAGAATGAGAAGCTTCCTGCTAATTATCAGTCCCTTTCCAGATTGTAGATGTAATCAGAGGGCCTGCTAATAAGAGCAAGTTTAGCCCCAAGTCTTGGGGTGGCATCATCATTTTGAGTCTTAAAATTTATACTTAAGACTTTTCCCATTTTTCTTCAAAAATCTCAAGCAAGTCTCAAGTTGAGTCTTGAAATTTCAAGACTCAACTTAAGACTTGAGATTGGGACCCACTTCACTTTTATTTTTATTATCTCTTTTTTTTTTTTTTTTTTTTTTTTTTTTTCAACTTTTCTACATATAATATATCAAATATTTAAGTCTTAAGGCTAAAGTGATAAATTTGTATAAGTCTTAGTGAGTCTTAACAAGATTTTGATGACATCATTTTCAATGGGGACCACCAAAAATGATGTCACATCCAAGTCTTAAGACTTGGGGCTAAACTTGCTCTAAGTTGAACCTGTTAGATTCAGCCAAAGTGCATCCAGTTTTCCATGTATCTTAATTGAAGACCTTTAAGGAGACTTTCCTGCTTTGACTCATATTCTAAAATGGTACAATGAAAAAGGCTTGATTTGGAACTAGTTCTGAGAGATGTTATTGATTAAAGAACAGTCAAGCATCACAATATAGCT